AAAAGTGTGTCTACCTGTTATAGAGAAGAATATCTGGCTTCCAAATCAGTCCATCAGGAAAACGGACATTCTTCACTCCTGGGTATTCAGACACATTCCACTGCAGATAATGATCTGTCCAGTACTAAAACATACACACAAAAAGTAAGTTAGCTCATCTCATCCACTGGTTTTTATTGTAGTTCTCTAGGGACTGGATAGCCTGAAACAATAGGTGTTGTCTTCTTAAAGAGACACTATCTAGCTTCAGGCAGTGAAATGTTTGGAAAGGGTGAATTAGGCCACCTAGATCTCAGTGGAAAACATAAAAATCTCATGTTCAATTCACACTGCAGTGCACACAGCAACCTGTAAAAGATTTGGGGTGCTTGTTGCTTATTGTTCATGCTGTCCCAGTTCGGGATAGAACAGATTTTCTTTTAAATTAACTTCAGTTAGTTTATCTTCATAGACAGCTTTGTTTTCTGTTGTGGGAAATTCTCAGGTTGTAATAACTTGATTATTGACATGAGGTTGAGCAGCCAACAGCCACTGCTGGCAGGGAAAACAACTGAAAGGGTAGAACAGTTAATACTAGCATAGGAGGTTTTAGCAACTCCTGTAGCCTGAATTTAGGCAACCTCTGAGGCAGGTGCTCAGCAGCACTGGCCCATAAACATCCTCCCTGGCTGGCGCTTAGGGCACTGGAGGCATCTACCCCAGGGACCATCCTGCTCCGCTCAGCCCATCCTGACTGCCAGTATAGGCAGGGAGTCTTCAGTGGTCAAACCAATAGGGGTCTGACCTGTGTTTAGCGTTGCTAAATCCCAGATACTGTCACTGAAGCATATGATCGTGCAGAGTCATGAACAAAAGCACTGCCCCATACTACAGGAAGCAGAGTATGGTGGCAGCTCTAGCAAGCTGGTTACCTCCTGGTGTCTGGAGAAACACTAGCATGAGTTCCTGTATTTTCCTGAAACTGAGGCTGTACTTCACCCCTCACTAAGCAGATGACTTGTCATGATACAAGGATGGTTACTGTTGTAAGCAAAAGTTATAGATAAGAAGTAAAGCTCATTTTGTTTCACAAAATTATTTTTTTATTATCATTTCTATGCTTCATTATATTGTGCCTCTATCTCCCTAGTATGTTATTTACCTTAACTCCACATAGCTGCAGGCATCACATAACTTAATGATAACTCCTCCAGATTTATAGTGCTGTTGCAATGCCAAATGTTAGTCTTTTAAATGTAAACTTTGAAGTGGGTGAGCCCTTCAACAGTCTAGTGGCCCTTGTCAAAATTTTTGACAGATGTTAAGGTCAGAAGAAATTTCCAATGGGTATTGTGGAGGTAATATTATTGGATCGGTGAGTCAACATCAACGGCACGAGCTTCAACAAGGCCAAGTGCCAGGTCCTGCACTTGGGCCACAACCACCCCATGCATTGCTACAGGCTTGGGGAGGTGTGGCTGGAAAGCTGTCTGGAAGAGAAGGATCTGGGGGTTCTAATCGACAAGCAGCTGAACATGAGCCGACAGTGTGCCCAGGTGGCCAAGAAAACCAACAGCATCCTGGCTTGTATCAGAAATGGTGTGACCAGCAGAAGTAGGGAGGTGATAGTGCCCCTGTGCTCTGCACTGGTGAGGCCACACCTGGAGTGTTGTGTCCAGTTTTGGGCACCTCAATACAAGAGGGAAATGGAGGTGCTGGAGTGAGTGCACAGGAGGGCAACAAAGCTGGTGAAGGGCCTGGAGAACAGATCCTATGAGGAGAGATTGAAGGAGCTGCGACTGTTCAGCTTGAGGAGGAGAAGGCTGAGGGGAGACCTCATCACTCTACAGCTCCCTGAAAGGACACTGTAGAGAGGTTGGTGCTGGTCTCTTCTCACAGGTGATTGGTGATAGAACAAGAGGGAATGTCTTTAAACTGCAACAGGGGAGGTTTAGACTGGACATTAGGAGAACATTTTCCCCAGAAAGAGTGGTCAGACAGTGGAATAGGCTGCCCAGGGAGGTGATGGAGTCACCATCCCTGGATGTGTTTAAGGGTCGTTTAGATGAGACGCTGAGGGATATGGTGTAGGGGAGAACTTGTAGAGTAGGGCTGATGGTTGGACTTGATGATCCCAAGGGTCTTTTCCAACCTGAATGATTCTGTGATTCTGTGATCATTCTCATGGGGTATTCACATCAAATTGTTCCTTATAATTCCTTGCATTACTGTCACAGGCAAGTTTCAGTTTGATACATCAAACAAATCCCCAGTTAGCCTCATGCTGCACATAGTCAAACACTTTTTTGTACCTCTAGAACAGTGTTTGTAAATGACAGTTTTGATGCACACAACACATCTAATAGCGTTCATCACACATCTTTTGTAAAGCTTTTACTATACAATTTCTTGGCCTGTGCATTCATATTTATCTCACTCATTTTTTACTATGAATTTGTAGCCCCTTGTCACCTGTACAAATGATCTGAGTTGTGCATTGCTTTTCCCTTTTGCTTTACAGATAATAGTTTTTTTACAGAAATCTTAAATCAGAATATCTGATTGGCTCTGTTCATAGTTTTTTCTTTTCACTGCAGGCTCCATTCACAGTTCTCAAATTAAATTATGTGTATTGCTCACACCCATCTATACACAGCTTCTATAAGCTGAACAACTGCTTTTCATCTTTTCAGAAATATTACATCCATATTTACAGTAAATTGCTTTACATGAACTTCCTGATAGACAAATGTGTCACTGTCTTTTACCACTTCATCTTTGTGGAATGTAGAAATACTGAGATCCTCATGAGCCCTCTATTTTTTACAAAGTCCAACAATTCAAATAAATACAATGTGTGGTTCTGAGGCATTTAAACCGGTGGGCTCTTGTTGGCTTTAGGTGAGTGATTTTCAGGAGGTGACAGAACAGGTCACTTTCTGAGTAGCGGTTGCAGGGCTGGAGCTGGCAGGTGTGGCAGCTGCTGCAGAGCACGCTGCCCGGTGGCTCGGTTGTGTGCAGCAGGCACTCCCGTTCATTTCCATCTGAATTGCAGTACAATAATTTATATCAATGTGATCAATTTCTTATTCTAACTTCTCTTAGGAGTCATCATGGCCGATACGACGTAGCATAGGGTGACACTGAATGATGTAAAGACAGTGCAAAGGATGGTAGAAAACTTCATGCTAAAGGCTGTAGTAGAGATAATGTTAAGATGATCGTGTGGCTGCTCTGTTTGGCCGTGTGTCCAAAGTGCTGGACACAAGCTGCCTCATTTTGTTTTAAATTTAGAGCTACAATTACCACTGTAGCTGAAGTACATTTGATGCAGATTAAAATAGCAAACAGTTCAGTGTACGTGGGTCAGTATTAATCTCTGTGATTAGGCAAGGCTTCTGCTGTAACTTAGACCATGTTTAAGACTTTGATACCGAACAGTATTGCCATGCAGATAGTGGTCAGGATCAAAGAGTCTGCATGTATATAAATACTAGATTTATATTCCTCTTTCTTCCAGGTTAGTTTTTGTATTTAAGTATTTCAGTGACAATTATGTAAAATATATTTAAGGTACATCGCTGATTATACTCGCATACATATTAAGAAAGGGAGTGGAGAGGAAAATTCAGGAAAAAACTTATTTTTGACCTTTTAGCATAATAAAGTGACATATGCCTGCCTTAAGCATGTTTTGAATCTGTCTAGTTTACCGTTAATAGACAGTTAATATGCAAACACATCTCTTTTTTTGTAATATGTACACAGGCCATGAAGAGTGGTTACATTTTTTGTAGTAGTCAAGTGATCTGCTCATTGCAGTGTTAACATGCTCCACATACAGTATGTGCTAAGGTGAGTAAATCAAAATAAATACATAATATATAAAAGAACTAGGAATTTCCTTAAGAAAAAAAAATATCAAAAAGGATAAGGATGCTTTCTTGAGTATGAATTGTCATCTGGTTTCCTGGTAAGAAATCAGAGAAACTGTTCTCGTAGCTCAAAGCCAAAAACATATAATATTTGACAGTTTTAATGTTACTATACAACAAGCCTGTAAAATAACAGGAGCTGAATGCTTCTCCCATGTCAACTTTTCTTTGTGAATAAATGGAATAGCTGTGGTATCCTTTGTAGGTCATCAAAACAGTCCTTTATTTGTTTTCCTAAGGCCTACTACGGTGCAAGAGACGTGCTGGATAAAAAATGTTACAATAAAAGAAAACAGAATACATTTAAACTGAATGAGCTGGTTTAAGAAACTGAAAGGTGTAAAGTTTCTGTAGAAACAACATGATTATTCTGCATAATAAAACTCTTCTGTAAACCTTTACTTAAGCCAAACAGTTCAGTTTCTGTAACACAGAGGGGAATTCAACTAATGGCAAATTCTCATTCTAGCTGCTATAGTATGGGGTAAGCTCCCCAAATCTCCCCGTCTTTGTCACAAACTTACAGTAGAAAAGTTTTGTGGAAGCACCAGGAGCCCACAGTAGTCAGCATGGTAAGAATCATCTTGTTAATTCTAAGTCTTAATTTAAACTAATGCAAAAAAACAATCAAGTCTGAATAAATCTGTGTAGGCTCCTTTGCTTAGGAGCAGCTCTTTCACTAGTTAACCTTTCAGAGAAAAGAAATTCAAATACTCTCACAAAGTTCTTGAATATTCTATTATCTATTCCATTTATAAAAAAGTGAGTGAAACTTACTCCCGCCCAGCAATGCCAGCCATGAGTTAATGGGGGCCAAGTTGTCTGCTGTGGTATCTAGTGGTGGCAATAGTTATGGTTAAGTAATCAGTGAGAACATGACATACTCTGACAACTATAGCAACTCAACATTGCAACAAAAGGCAAAATAAAGCTAGTGTTTGAAAAATTAACACCCTTTGTGAGCAAAACAAACTGGGAAACCAGAAAAAGATATAATGTTCCCAGCTGAACATTAGGAAACTGAACTGATGTTCCAATACCCATTTTAGTCACGTAACTGAGATACAGAATTTAGAGAAGTAACATAAAAAACCTCTGATGTTCACAGTTAACCTGTGATGATGACCTCTGTTTAAACAACATTTTGAACAACATGGGAACAGCGTGGCCGTTTTAATTAAAATCCTCTTACAGCTTCTCAAGGAGACAGACAGCAAAGCAAGTAGGATGGCACAAGTATTCAGTTAGGACAGTGGCAGCAGTGCTCAAGAGATAATGAACCTCTTTGGAATAATTTTTCCTCTGTATCAGAAGAACCATCTGATGATTTTCAGAATGCTGATTGGAACAGCTATTACAGATGAAATGCATTTCTTGCATGTTATAGTTCTCTTTCGGAGTCAAATGATTTACCACTCATAATGGATTTGTTGAAATGAATGATAAGGCACTTACACCTACAGTCACCTGGGACTCTTAGGACACCATTATCTTACAACAATCAAGAGTTTAGCATGACTAAATCAACTACAATGAGTTAGTAACTTACTTATATATAGTGAGTCAAATTCTTAACATTTTTCAGAAATACCTGAAACATCAAGACCTAAATCTCATCCTTACAGTTTTCTATTCAGCTTAGCTTTGTCAACTGTGTAGCAAGATACAGAACAAAACTTCGATAAATTTCCTAAAATTCAAACCCTTTACCAGATTAAATTCAAAGACTAAAGGGGGAAAAACCCCATACTTTGTTTCAAAACTTACCATTTGTAGCCAGATGTTTGTTGTTAACACTTGATTCTTTTCATCCTGGGAGGAAGGAGGAGAGGAAAAAAACCAAAACCACAGCTTAGTACCATACAGCTAAATACATTTGGTAAATACATTTGACTATTATGAAATAGCTAGATACAGCTAAATACAGTAAATACAGTAAATACAGCTAAATACAGGTAAATACATTTGACTATTATGAAATAGCCAGTTCTGCTAAGGTACCTTTCAAAGCAAAGGGAATCATTGCCTCTAACTTACTCCAACAGAAGTTTTCACAGGTACTTTTTAATGTATTTCATATTACTGCAGTCAATCAGACTTTTTCCTGAGGGTATCCTTCTGCCAGGCTTGGGGCTCCTCTTTAATAAAGAATCTCAAAAGGCAAAGCAGGTTACAGTAGGGGTTGCCTGTTTCACCTTAGTTAGGAGCAGCCCTCTCACTCATTAACCTTACACACCAGACAAGCAGGTAGTAGAAAAAATATTAAACAAAGAAAGTGTGACTAAGCTCAGATGATGTGTGCTGAGGCCATACTTGAGTAACTTCTAAACAGGTGAGCAGCACCACTGATAGCAGTGGAACTACACAAAAAGCGTGGTATCAGCTTTACCAGAAAACTGTTGTCAGGGTCGAACATTTTTCTGCTTAGAACAGTTCCAGTTTCGAGGCCTTTCACCATGCCTCCTGTGACTTTCATGTAAGGTCAGGTGACATAATAGGCATCTTAATGCTGCAGTTAATTAAAGAATTTAGTTTGTCACTTCTCAAACATGGGAAAACGTTGGTGACTATTTCTGTGGAGGTACTGTATCAGTATCCACCTGGGTTGTGTGAAGCTAATGGAATATACTATACATACACTGACAGTATTACACATGCTACTAATGAACGCACAATCCCTGTCCCAACACCAGCCAAAGCTTCATTTACAGTCTAAGGAAGTGTCACAGCATATTTCAGTCACCTGTACAGCAGCAACTATCACAGTGGATCATACCTCTAGACCTCTGAACTTAAATCTGTCACTCTTGAACTTAAATGTTGTTTCTAAATGCCCCCCCAAAAAAGTTTAATCACATTTCATTAAAGAAAAGCTTTCTCTTTTTGATAATAATCTTTACTAAAGGTCAGTATTCTTTGCTGTTGTTGGGTGGACTTCTAACTGAACAAAAGTCCTGAGAGACCTTTAATTGAAGCCATCTTAGAGCAGCAAAATAGTAAAAAGTTACACATGAGGTAAAATCAAATGCAGTGCAAAAGACAATGGCATTTTTAAAGCAAGTGAAGCCTTTGGAGGACCTGCATCAGTGAATACATGCCAGTGTTACTAGGTCATGTATAATCACAACTAAGTGGACAACATAGAAACCAATAGAAACATTTTAGGTAAAGATTGGTATTGTGCACGAATAAAATCTGCCCTCAAATGCATGTTCCTACCTTCCTCTAAAATAAAAGTAAATTTAAAAATATAAAGCACAGACCATAGCTAGTGATTCAGCACTTTTCCTCTCTATTTTCTGCTTCATCACCTCCATGAACCTTAAAAATATCTCAAATGAGCAACTCATTTAAATAGCATCCTCAGGAAACAGGTCTCTTTAACTCTTTGGTTTCAGGAAAACATTATTAAGCTGCATTGAATTAGCATACTGAAGGTATTGCTGGAGATGTCAGCCAGGCAAAGCAGTAATTAATTTGCAATAGTAGCTGTTATTATCTAGACATACAAACATTAATTTGGTGCCTCTCTCAACAACCTGCTTATAGTGTTAGAGAACAAAAAAGGTAGTTTGTATGGGATATTTAATTCATGAATGAAGAAACAATTCTGAAGAGATCATTCATCTCACCATGAACTAAAGTCTGTAGACAAGTGTTGCAAATTAAGGACATGTAAAACCTATATATGTTTATATTTATCAGAGCCATTTTTTGGTCAGATATAAATACCACCAATGATAACCTATGATTAAAAGTTCGAAGAGCTCAAAGCTCTGTGTGCTGTCTCAGATGAACATGACAAGTTCCCATGACGCAATGTCCCATCTCCTGCACCTGAGTAAAGCCAGAGAGCACCACTGCTGTGTGGTTTCTGTGAAGGGCAGACCATAGTAGTGTTGCTTTGCACAGGCGTGACTGGCTACTCAAAGCTGCAGAGCAGTTCAGAATCCATTATGTTGTAGGAAGCTTGTTTCAGGACTGTTAGCTGAACAGCATGTACTCCTGCATGGTTAAATTCTAAGTTAAACTCACAGTTTATTCCCAGTGTGATCTCTTTCTACACATGAATGGTTCCGGCCTTAGATTAGTGATGTTTCAAAAATTCCCTTTTCTGTAGCAGGAAAAGATTGGAGTGCTGCTGATGTTTAAGCTAATAATACACCGTGGGGATTTAATTTGAAGCCCTGAGCCCACAGCATAGTCAGATTAACTATTTTAGGAGTACCAGAAAGGAGCTCTACTATCAGCGAGCACACATGTCAGAAGGAGGGTAGAGAGCCATCACTGAGCAGTCCAACGAGCTGAGCTGAGGGGGACAGTAGACTTTTAATCCAGCTGTGCTGCTGGCAGAATGATTCAACTGCCTGCCACTGCCAGGCAGCAGGGCACATGGCAGAGCTGTCCCAGGCTTGCCTGCAGGAGATTGCAGATGTATTCTGAAGGCCAAGAGTTATTCTTGTGATAGAGTGTGGTGTTTCATTCAGATCTAGCTGAAAGAGGGTGTCTGAGAGTACTGACTCAAAAGTAACTTGTACAGTGAAGACAAGCCCTATATGAAGATGGCCTGTGCTGCTTTCCTGGTGTTTCTTTCTGTTATTTTAAGCATTTAGAGCCTGAAAGAGTATATTTGAACAAACTCCCACTTGGATCACTATATTTAAGGTTCCATCAGTGTTTGAATCATAAATCTCATCATTGCTCCTCAGCTATAAAAACTTTGCTGCATGCTGAAGCTTGGTTTGTAGTGGTGGTTTTTTCCTAATGTTTGTTGGAGCAAATGGATTTTAGTCACATTTTAGTCATTACTGGATTGACCCAACCATCACTAGAGGAAAGATTCTGATTTTAGAGGGTTTGTCCATCTCTGTGGTCCCAAGTGAAACTGGTGAAAGGTGGGGCAGGAGATATCCTGTAGGGTTTCTCCCAACCCGGAGAGTTTTTTTGACACTGTTTTAAAAGCTTTACAGCAAACTGCAATAACAGTATTATTCATCAGAGTTGTGCAGTATTTCCCCATAAAGTGACGGGTGGGCTTCAAACACTTCATAGGATTTCACCAGGTTTTGTTACTTTGCAATATTTTATAAACATACACTTACAGAAGAAGTGTTGAACATGAAAGCAAGGCAGCTCCTGTTACAAACCCCTTCTACTAGAAATGAGCAAAGAAAAAGGACTTCACAATATATTCTGAGGTGCTGGCAAAATTAGTCAGAGAATGAGACCAGAAACTATATCATGGTGTTTGGATTGGTGTGGTTTTCTCCCATACCAGCTACTTTCGCTTACTTGCTGTTCAGCCTGTGCTGTCGAAGTCGCACAGCTAACGAAGAGTTAGGTTTCATTAGCACAGTGGGGGTGGGCGGGAGGCTCCTTGATTCACAACTGTAGTCATGATCTGTGAGGGCAGATGGCAAATTGCTACTGGACTGCTTATCACATTATTTTACAGAAGTGTAGTTATTGAAGGGAAAGTAGCCGACATCAGGAAGACCTGAATGGTCCTTCATTCATTTTTGAAGGTAGAGGTAAGTTTGTGGAAGTTTTCAGAAGGAATTACACTGTCCATTATTCCACTTTCCAGTTCTGGTTTTGTCTTGTCTTTTCAATTTAAACAGTCTAACAGACTGATCACCTTTGGAAACAGTGTATCAGATTCTCACATTATCCTTCCCTTACCATGTGTTCAACAGAATATGTAAAAGAATAGATGGAAATTTGACAATGCTTTGGAAAGAGCATTATTAGCCTGGACATTACAAACTTTGTAAGGTACATTATCTGCTGACTTTCAAATGGATGTCAGCACATCTATTAACCACACTAGAAAAGCTACACAGCAAAAAGAGGAAAAGGGAGTAAAATAAGCCTGCATGCCTGTAGACTGCCATGCAACAGCAACATGCAGCACCTAGAAAGAAACATGTACTTCCCAGAAGACTTGCACAAAGTGATGTCCTGACTAAAATCTATTAGCTGTAATTCTTGAATTTCAAATCCAAATTCTTTATTTTTACATGGTTGAATCTCACCAGATTACAGAAAAAGGTAATGCCTGTTTGAACTGGGCTTCAATTACTATGAACGTTAATAAAAGAGTTTGTAAAAACATTTAAAGACATCCCTGTTATAGCAATAATGTTAGGTTCCTGATTGGTACTTGGTAGCAAGACTGAAGTTAATAATTGTAGTCTGAAGTTAAAAATGGGCTGGCAGCCAGTATGACACATAAGGCACTCCCTATATAGATTTTCACTTTTGTTTGTTTGATGTCATCCTACTGAAACCAGCAGGTTAATCAGTTCATTAGCTCTTATCACACTGTCTCAGCACTTGCTCATTAAACATTCTCAACATCTTCTGATCCACAATGTCAAATTACTAGCACCTAATGATGTTTTTTCCCTCCCATCATTTAAAACGCTATTAATTTTTGCTTTATACAGCTTGGAGTTTTCTTCCTCTTCCTTCTTAGGGTAATGCACTGAGCGTCATTAAACATCACGAGAAGCGATAAAGCCTGAATTCTTAGAGAGAACGGGCTAGAGGGTGAGTTAAGCACACATAAAGTGGCCAGTTGCCAAAAGACTGATGCTATGGTCATACTTTAGGCAGTCATAGTGACAAGATGAATCTGAGCTTCTCAAAACTTCTGGTGAGTAGTGGAGGGGCTGGACTTCTCCATTCCTGCCCATCACACCTTGTGTGGCCAACCTCCAGGAGAGGCCAGAGCAGCATGGGGTCCAGCCTCACCCACCTGGAGCCCATCTGAAAACCTTGCGTTCTTTATAAGCTAACTCAGCTCTTGC